GTTTGCTAACAGACAGGCAGCAACTGCAGCTGGCCTGCGTATTGTCAACAGCAGCCTCTGTCCCGGATACTGAGCCCATTATTGCATTATCACAAAACACACACACACTTACACACACTGACAAGTACACTCACAGGCTGTGTGTGGGCTTTAATACAAGTCATGATACGTGATTCATCTGTACTATTTCAAGGAGGCCCCCGAGTCTACCACTAATAATAACCAACGCCAACATCATCCGGTCCAAATTCTATCCCAGCTATCCATTACAGCTTATTAGGACATGTAGGTTACGCTGCAAAGGACACTCGTCTGCTCATGTGGGTGTTAAAACTCACCTATTAGCTGAGCGAGATAAAATGAATCTGAAACTATTTTAACACTGATCGCTTACTTTGTCATTTGTCATAGTAAATTGAAAATATTTGGGTTTTCAGCGGTTGGTCATGCAAAACAAGCTATATGTATAAATCACCTTCAGCTCTGGGAAATTACAATGGTCTTTTTCACTGATTGATGATTAAGATAATAGTTGACAATTTCTAAATACGAGTTTTCCACCCAACTATGCAATAACAATATCCATTTTATTTTCATGCACTTGCAACACAAGACGCCAATGTCCATGTACTGTAATTCCACACTGATGTGATGGTACCACACTAACAGCAGGGGCTCTGTGCATAAACCTTTATGTGCGCAGTGGCAGTAATACTACCATCGACAGGCTGGGTTTGACATTCCCAGTGGTTGGATTCTCCCAGGCAGAAACCTCAATATTTTAATTTAATCCCAAGAGCACTCATTTAGCCACTCCGTAATCCCCAGGTCCAGTGCTTAGTCTGATAATTACCCTTACTGGACACCCATAATGATTAGTTTTTGGTTTCACCCAAAGCAGTGAAGGCAGTTTCATAGGGCGGTCGCGGCGTTATGCGGAGTGGAAAACCAATCATGCGCGGTATAGCCCAGGTTGTAAAAGAAGAGCGAGGGGTATGATTATTACTTTGCTGGCAACTCCTGGAGAGGACATGGTGTAAACTGTCTTTGTGTAACTTTCACTTGTCGGCATCAAGATCACTCAAAGGATTACAAAGCAAATGGTGGTTGGGGTGGCACTCCTACTGTGTCAACATTAACAGTTATCATTGCACCGAGCAATCATGCTCAGTTACCGGGGTGAAAGTCAATGGGGACATAGGCTGGGAACGATCCCTGCTGAGGCGCAACGCAACCAAACCTAACATCGGAGCATAATTTCCAGTGGATCAAGCAGTAATCAGAGGAATTTTAGACATCTCACTCTTCACTTTGCTGGTACTGTCATTTAATTTTCCCTTTGCATTTCTCTCAACATTTCCAAACTGACAGCATGAACTGCAGACATTCCCACCATGACAAGCTGCCATGTGCCATGAGTCCAGGAGAAAAATGGGTTCATGGCAGCACAAGCTGGTAGCTCAGCTGGTATAATCTACAGCTGGGAGGGGAGCCTTACTGGAAAGTCATCAGTGATTTTTTTTGTCTCCTTCATGTCTGAAACAGGTCAAGGCAGGTTCCCTCCATCTACTTCCCTCTCTGTGCAGCTCTTTACGAGCCCCACCTGGCAGATTAGTATTCCACCACTACAACTACCTTTTCTGCTGTTGACACACACACACACACCCCTCTATTACTGTTGGAGGGAGGCAGCACAGGGCACATACTGTTCAAACTATGAGCTCTGCCACCTTAGTTTCATACATGTATGTGTGGGCCTATGGAGCGCAAAACATTCCACCTCATGTGAAGTAACAGAACAAAGATGTCTTGCTCTTTGTTGATTCAACAAATCATTTGGCTGAAACTTCTGATTATTTTTGTTGTGTCAACTTCAATTAATATTAGTCTATAAAATGGCAGAAAAGTGTAAAAAAAAAAAATGCCCATCACAGTTAAACAAAACTGAACAAGACATCTTCAACTGCTCAATTGCACAATTTTTTGTCCAAAAAAACCTAAACATTCATATTACAGTCACATAAACAGAGAACAAATACATTTGAGAATCTGCAACCACAGAATATTAAACTATCAGTTGATTATTTAAAGTGTTGAGATTCATTTTCTGTCTACCCATTACTAATTTCGAGTAGCCTCCTAGCTCTTAGACTAACTCACAGCACTAGATCCAAGGCGAATTCATTTCTTTCTTGCAGTTACACTTAAGTTGTCCACCATACAAAAAGGAACATGTGCACAATTCATTTATCATTAGAGGTTCAGAATGTCAAAATAGCTTAATCAAACGTGAACTCATTCAACATACTAAAGATCTAAATACAGATGATGTTCAACATTCCTTTACAATGTAAAATCGCTATAATATCCTTTCATTGTTTGTATGTGCCCTCCACTAGTCTATTCCTGAGTGAGTGTAATGTCCTTGTGACTTTTGTGCTCAGTTGTGATTTTATAGTGTGATTAGGCTAACCCTGAAATATATTTAGGTCAATCAATATCCTGTCCTGCTATGCCACCTTTCATGAACAACTGCAGTGTCTATATATCTGCCATATCATCCAGAATCTCCTTTCTGTAAACATACTCTATAAGGTGTAGGTAATACATTGAAATATATTTGTGCACATGAGTAAACACAGTTTTAATGCTTCCATTGGAAAAGAGGGCCAAAACAGTGCCTTTGGCAGTCTGGTACAAATTCTTCATGTGGCTGAGCCTGAATGTCAACAAAAGAAACATTTTTACTTCATTCATAAAAAATTCCGAACGACTTCAGAAAAAGGGGGAATTACAGTTTGATTAGCCAAGTTACATTTTGAGACAGCGCACAAGATAATATCCTTGCCAGTGTCCAAAACATAGTCCACATGAACGCCAGGAGCAATGTAACCAGCCTACAATTAACAAACACTTACATATGTTTTAATGTTTTCATGAAACCCTTGTTGTGAACTATAGCTTGTTATGCAGTAGCCTATATGGAAACCACCGACGTTATTAAGTGCGTAGACACAAGCGAATCGCAAACACGTAGCCTTCATGCCACCAAAACGGTGAAACATTGTAAAAACTGCGACGTGTTAACACAGTGAGGTGTAGGCTACGGTCTATGCGCGGCTACAGTTTAACCACCTGAGCTTTTCGCCGCAGTCCTGATGCTTCATTTTGGCTACAACAAGAGCACAGGAGGAGAAGAACCAGGAGGAGGAGGGTTGAAAAACTTGCCGCAGTTCAGACTTCTGCAGTCCCGACTGACTGAGTCCAACTCAGGAAGCCGCTGTCTGAACCCCTTTCCATGTACCCGTGTTCCCTATCCAAACCAAAACACACACAATAAAGACTCCAACTTTACCTTAGCTGGTCCACCGCCAGGTCAGAAAAACACGACGGTAAATCCACAACTTCACACGGTTTGAGTTCATGCAGACGGTTGGACTCGCTGCTGCCGACACGACGAGGACAAGTTCATCCACATATTTTCACATACAACCAGAGTTGGTGGCGACAGGAGGGGGGGGGGCTGCGTTTCTGGTTTCTCCCTTCCCCTAAATCACTTTCGTCCGTCCTTTCCTCTCGGATATTCCCCTCCCTGGCCCGTCTGAGATCAAACCATCACATTCCACCGCGTCCTTAACAATGAAAAAGGTGGGTTTTTCCTTTTCTGCTGCCGGAGGACCCACCCCTCGGGATGACTCTGCCCGGTCTGACCGCAAAGAGAACGCCCTTCCCGGCTGCGAGGTCCCGCCTCTCTCCCCCACATAACATACGCAAGACTGGCCGGTGGGAGAAATGAATTCTCGCTGAGATTGTGTGGATACTGAGTAAATGCATCTCTCCCACCCCCCCATTCTGCGCACACACACACTATAGCCTATATTTTTGAACTGTTTGAATTAATATTATAGCACAATTTTTGTAATACCATTGGGACTACAAAATGCCATTAACAACTTACCTTACGCTTCCCACATTGTGTAGCCTATCACAGTTTAAATCATAAAGTCCCCATAAACTCAACAAGTAACACCTGTAGCAATGTTACCACAGTCTTAAAGTAAGCAAAAGGAGTAAAACATATAGATAATATCACTATAATTTATTTTCCAGTAGTGCAGACATATTATAAATCTCCACTGTATTGGTATAACTCTTTTTTTAGTTTGTGTACACTGTAATGCTCATAAAACCCAGGAACTGCAAACTCACTGCCACAAAAATGCTGATTATTCTGCATATAAATGTGCAAATTCCACAATTACTGTTGTACAACTTTTATGGTGTCAGGTTTGTGTGGATTTCAAGGCAAAGTTTTTTTTTTTTATTGAGAAGCAGCCTAAAATGTATGCAGCTGAGACCCTGGGCCCCTGT